AAATCCACAGAAGCAAGTGTGAAATGAGAGTCCTGAAATCTTCTGTATGAAAGCATGAAATTCTAGTTGTCTTAGCCACTCTTGCTCAATTTTAAGGAGCAGCTTTATGGTCTCAGATGATTCTAAGTAACCGCAAAAAAACCGCAAATGACCGATCACGATTCAGGCGGAAAAGGCGGGAAGGTAGAGCTAAAACTTGTATTAAAAGGACCCTGTTGGGCGCCTGGGTGGCTCAGATGGTTAAGCGTCTGCCTTCAGCTCAGGTCATGATCCCAGGGTCCTGGGATCGAGTCCCGCATCAGGCTCCCTGCTCCTTGGGAGCCTGCTTCTCCCTCTGCCCCCCTCTCTCTCATGAATAAATAAATAAAATCTTAAAAAAAAAAAAAAAGGACCCTATTCAGTTACTACTTAAGCCTATGACAAAAAGTTAGAGGTCCTGAGATAGAGGTTTACCTAAAGAATACAGTTTGAAACTGAAAGGTATTCTAAGTTTAAAAAAAACAAAACAAAACAAAACCACAAACTAAGATCTTACTTGGCAAAATCTATTCAAAATCGATTTACTTCATGATATTCACTTACAATTCTAAGGACATGGGTCAGCTCAAATACAATGGGCAGTTCTTTAAGTCTGCTTTTTAAAAAAAAGTATGCAGCGATCACATTTCAGCTTCTAGAGAGACCCTGACCGTCATCTAGTCCCAATGGCCCGCCCAGGGGCTCAATGTTTGTCACTCAGGTAGAGCAGTAACCTACCGTTAGAAAGAGCAGCCCAACCTGATCAGTCTGGACAAAAGGAGTGGTGCTGGGGGGGGGGGGGCAGACCAGACCAGAGAGAGTGGCCAGAGCCTGTTACCAGTGGACTCAAATCCTACACCTCAACAGGAGATTGGGACTGTGAAGAGGGGGCAAGAGGACTTTCTGGGGAAAGGGGCCTCCTTGATTCCCCCACATCACACTTTACCTCACAAAGACAACGGACCCATTTCCAAAATGGAAGCAGGTACCCCACGTATGCCACGTTTTCAACATGGTTTTACTTCCTTTTGAGTGTCATATTGGCATTTTACAGGTGGTATGCTTTTGTTTTAAGAGTTAAGATTTTCTTTTCCTCAGCTTTAGGGGAAAAAAAAAATCAAATAGCATCCCCCCCCCGCGCCATAGTTCATCAAGTGGGGTGGTCTTTTACCTGGGGTGACCGGTCTCCATATACATCCTACGTCCTCACCTCCCACATTTGACATAGCATTTGTTGCAAACAAAAGTGTCCCTGTTTAGTTGACAGATTATATGGTCGCCCTTCTTTAACCCGAAGGTGTGGCCCAAAAGAAAAGCTTTCTCTGCTGGTGCCATTTCCACACAGACCAAACACTCAGGCATTCAGAGAGAGCAAGAGCTCAATTACCAAATCTTCTTTAAACAAAGGCTCTTTTAACAAAGTTAGGCTCTGCTGGAAGGAAGCTGGAAAACGATCTTGTATTCTTGGCGCAGGTTTGGGACAAAGAATGCGGAAAAGAAGGGCATTTCAGGTACAGGCCTCTCTAGGGTGGGTCAGCTGTCCTGGTGGAGAGGCAGGCCCGAGACCAGGGTCCCACAAAAGCCAGTCCTCTGAAGTGGACCCTTAGACAGCCTCTCACTTGGGAGAGATGGAGTGCTCATGACACCGCCGACCAGCACATCCTGCCCCTCTCCCCGCAACCCACGGTGCCCCAACCACCAGCGGCCAGGCAGCCTCCCTTGGAGACAAAGCAGAGAGAGCCCCAGAGAGGTAAATCCTGTATTGAGGCGCCTGGGTGGCTCAGTCAGTTAAGCACCCGACTCTTGATTTCAGCTCAGGTCGTGATCTCAGAGTCATGAGATCGAGCCCCGCATCAGGCTCCGTGCTCAGCGCAGAGTATGCTTGGGATTCTCTCCCTCCCTCTCCCTCTGCCCGACCTCTCCTCTCTCTCCTTCCCTCCCTTAAAAACAAACAAACTATTCTAAAAAAGGAATAAACCCTGTCTTTTCAAAACACCCAAACCTATACGGTTTCTACCACTTAGGAGTTTCTGACGCCGCTGCTTGCCAACGCTAGCCTTTCTCCGTCCATTATCCTTTCCACAACAGGGGTTCTCGTTCCTATCCAGCTCCCTCCCTGGGAAGGGAGAATGGGAAACACAGATGGAGGGGGTTCAGTGACAGGCTGTAGGTGACAGGGAAGCTTACTGGGGGTCAGAAGGACACCGATAGTAAGGGTCTCACCCCAGCAGAGAGCAGGGGACACACACCACAAATCCACCCTCATGACTTCTGCCTCCAAACACGGGAGAACTGCCAGGTGAGCAGAGTGACCAGGGGGCTCTCCCCAGACTCCCGCACACCAGTTACGAGGCAACAGTGATCCCTGTTCTATACGAGCTGCTGGGACACACAGAGCTAGAGAGGATTTGCTCAAGGTAATGTGGAGGAGAATGCAGGTCATGGGCAAAATAAGAAGAAGGTGATAAACGGGGCCATTCTACAGTGAAATGCCAAAGTGGCGTGACCTGCACACTGCCACCTAATCCTTCCGTTTTAGCTCACTCATTGGCAAATGGGTCCTAAAAGAACTATGGCACTTCAAAGAAAGTGGACACCTGAGCGAGGCATGGAGAGCAGAGGAGGAAGGCAGGAAGGGAGGACGGTGTGTTTTGTGTTTATTAAACTAAGAAAATGAAGGACAGGGGCGCCTGGGTGGCTCAGTTAGTTAAGCGTCTGCCTTCGGCTCAGGTCATGATCTCGGGGTCCTGGGATCGAGCCCCGCGGCGGGCTCCCTGCTCAGCGGGGAGTCTGCTTCTCCCTCTCCCTCTTGCAGCTCCCCCTGCTCGTGCGCTCTCTCACACTCACACTCTCTCTCAAATAAAATGGACAGAAGTAGGATCCAGACTTTCTGCTCATCTTCCAGCACTTGGTCCATTAAGTCATACACTATCTTTCCAACGAACACCTTGAGGTATTATCTGTAATTCCTCTTACCCTGCTGCTAAGAAATCATGCTGCCTCTTTTCATGTAAAAGGTAAAAATTCAAGGCTCGGATTTGTCTGCCTCTTCTAAGATTTGAAGCCTAATCCCACTACCAATTTTAACCTCAGATCTTAACAGGCTGAGCAATACAATATGAGTCCATTTCATTGTTTCATGAGGGCTTTGGTAAAACAAAGCAAAAGCAATCAAAATAAAAACCGCAGAAATTTTCCAAATCCAACCTCTTCCTTCAAAACTATAAAATTCATGGAAAAGAGTGAGAGCAATAGGCATTCTGGACATAAGAGCACAATTTACTGGTCAGCATGCAAATGTTTCAATTAAAAACAATCTGCCCAGGCTGGCTCACGGTGCTCTGTATAAGCAACAGAAGAGAGAGGTCTCAATCCCCTGTAAATGCTAATCTAGTAGGAGACAGACAAGTGAAATATTAGCGCATTCACAGGGGCACAAGAAAGGAGAAGGAACCTGCAGGTGAGATGTGCTTCCCTCCCACGCCACCAGCAACTCCTGACGGAGGCGCATGCGTGCAGTTCCCAGGACGGCTCGGACAGCTGACCCTCAGTTAGTCAGCTGAGGCACACATAAGAATGGAGAATTTTTTTTTTTTTTAAGATTCATTTGTTTTGGGGGGGGGTGCGTGCAGAAGGGAGAGGGAGAGAGAGTAGCAAGCAGACTCCACGCTGAGCGCAGAGCCCAACGCAGAGCTCCATCTCAGGACCCTGAGATCACCATCTGAGCCAAAATCAAGAGTCAAGACACTTAACCCCCTATACCACCCAGGTGCCCCAAGTATGGGGAACTTTTAACAAGATCTCACGGATTTTTCTTGCATCAACTTTATTTATGTATTTTTCATAATTTCTCCAGGTGCTATTGTAGTAACTTATTGGGACGGGAAAAGCTAAAAATGTCCATGAAGATATAGGACAGAAAATCAAGAGGTGTGCCTACCCGGGGCAGAAAAGGGCTTCTGCTGGGAGAGCATGAAGGTGAGGTTAGCTGGACAGAGCAAGGGCCCGTTACAGAGCGTCCAACATCACCCTGAGGCCCTGAAGCCAGAGGGTGACTGCGGGCAACAGCAGGGGGCCGACAGGATGAAATGAATGTTCTAATGAGAGCACTCCAGCAACACCCAACTGTCCCCAGCAGCCACCGCAACCCTCATGGCTCAATCCTACAAAGTACCAAGCGTGAACCGAGCGGGGCACCGGGGGCCTGTTCCAGCACCACTGACATGCATGCCCTGGGAAAGCAGTAACCTTCCCGGATAAAGTTCTGTCAACGATAGGACAGGCAAGTGGACTGGGACACCTCTAATGTCTCCATGTCTAAAGTTCAAAACGGTCTTTGTTCTCCCAAATCTGGTCCAAATCCCAGTTCTCGGTGGCTCTAACCTCATTGTGCTACTGGTCCAGTAACTTATTGCGACACCCAGCAGAGCCAACAGGAATAAAAGGGCTGATTTCAAGATGTAGGAGTATCAGGCACAATACTTAAAATAAAAAAGCTAATAAGGACGCAGAAAGACCAGGCTGCTGGTATTTCCAGAAAAGGCACAGAAATCACCAAATTCACTCACATCACCAAATCTCTCAATTCAGATTATACATACCAGAGAATACCCAGTTCTGGTAGGAACAAAATAAGTGCTTTCATGTCTCCCTAAATTAGAGACTTTTTTTAAAAAAAGGAATGTATTAAAATAAACACACATTCCCAAACTGTATTTTTCTAGAGAAAAAAAAAAAACAACACATCGGAATCCAGTCTCCTCATCAAATCAAGCCAGATGGAAGGCAAGACCCCTGCACAAAACGAGGTCCCTGGCCCGATGGCCTCAGCACCACCTCCTCCATTGCTCCATCAGCAACTCAGGAGGGGGGCCCGGTAATCTTGTCTTAAGGAGGCCTCCAAGCGACACTGACACATGCCTCAGTTTGGAAAGTGCTTGCCTAACTTGTCAGAAGCCTCCAAAAAACCAAAACAAACATACCTGGCTCCAAAGATGTCCTTTTTGGCGAGATCAATTCCAGAAACCACCTTCACTCTGAGAATACGTGACTCTCCCTGTTGAAGGAGAAAGAAAAAAAAAGTTTAAGAAATGGACCTTCAATGGGTCACTGTCTTACCCAATATGCAAAGGTTAACGATTTCTGTTTAGACCAGTACTGGGGACACAGAACCAATCAACTTAGCATAGGCGATTCTTCCTCACACTGAAGTTCAAAAGGCAACATTCCAGCTCAGAATCTTACGGCCCTAGAAATTCAAAACATCTTGGGGCACCTGGGTGACTTGGCTGAAGTGTCCGACTCTTGATTTCAGCTCAGGTCATGATCTCAGGGTCCTGGGATCAAGCCCCGAGTCCGGCTCCACACTCAGCAGGGAAGTCTGTTTGTCCCTCTGCCCTCCCCTCCTCCATGCTCTCTCCCTTGCTCTCTCAAATAAATAAATAAAATCTTTTAAATAAAAATTTAGAGCATCCAGGTTAATTAAGCACAAGTTTAATTCAAACTACATCAAGCAGATCGATTTGGACCAGTGAAAGATTTCCCAGTTATATACCAAGAACACAAGTATACGTTTGAAACCACATAGATCTTTAACTTTAATAAAGAACTTATTTAATAAATAATTCCTTGATTTTTCACTTTAATAAATAATTACTTGTGCAAGTTTGTACATTTGTGCACATGGCCTGAGACAGAAAAAAATTTCACGTAGTACAGTATTTTCTCAAAATTACAGTTTCATCATGTTGGTACAAAACAAGCAAAAATAATTCCTCAGGGGACGCCTGGGCGGCTCAGTCGTTAAGCATCTGCCTTCAACTCAGGTCATGGTCCCAGGCTCCTGGGACGGAGCTCCGCATCGGGCTCCCTGCTCCACGGGAGGCCTGCTTCTCCCCCCTCCCCACTCCCCCCTACTGTGTTCCCTCTCCTGCTGTGTCTCTGTTAAATAAATAAATAAAATCTTCAAAAAACAATAATTATTCCTCAGTTGCAGTGAGGAGGAAAAAAAAAATAAAGATCATAATCTTAAGTGGAAATCATCTCAAACCATCTCGGAAATCACTCATTCATTCATCCATCCATCCATCCATCCACCCACCCACCCGCTTACTTATTCATTCCATCATTCTCTAAGCTGCTCCTATTACAATTGGGCATTGAGCAAGGTCTTAAAATATAGATATGAATATGCTCATGGTCTCCTATGGGGGTGGGCAGAGCCAAGGTGCAGGACCCCGTGATGGCCTCACGCCCAAAGGCACAGGTTAGAGCAGTAGCTAAGGACTAAGACATTCAGGCTAGAGGAGCTGGCTTGCTCTCAAGTTTCTGGTTTGGGTCACTTAAGTGTTAACATGAACTGAAAGACAGGAATAAGTTGAATTCAAGGTATCTATGTAACAACCAGGTCGGGGGAGAAAAAAAGACTAGATAAATGGGAAAGACATCTGGTGTGGGTCAGACCGGGGCGTGACCGGCGTAGAGTGGTAGTCGGTGGTTACAGCCACGGTGTGAAAGAACACACCCAGGAAGGGTGAGGAGGAGGAAGGGCTCGGGGTGGAGCCCTTGGTGACAGGAGCACCGAGGGGCAAGAGAGGAGGGCTGTGAAAGCCATCTATCCATGTGTTTGGTCAAGACCTGCTGAAGGAAAAAAAAATCCAAATGATTATGTCAAAGGAGGCAGGGTGAAATTAAACACGGAGCCAGGAGGCCACTGAGCCCTGGTCAACGAGCTGTACACTCACTGAGCGTGCCTGTGTGCAACCAGAAGCGTGCTGGAGATCGTTACTTTCCAGGATTCTTCCATCCATCCTCCCTACCCCGCCTCCAACCACCTACCCCTGATGCAAGGCTGCCCACCTGCACACACAGCAGAGGCACAACAGGTTTCTCAACTTGCGTGTACTGAGGATCCCTTTCCAAATGAGGTCTGCATTCAAGTTTGGATTTCATGTGCTTGCTGGGCTTCACGAAAGGATGAAGACAAGTGAGGGATAACTAAAACATGGCTTTGCTACAGCCCAGCAGTGTCTCCAAGGGCTTCCCAAAACTTCCAGCTTAGGAACCGACTGCCCTGACCTTTCTCCCTTCCACTCACCTCCATGGCCGGGCATCAAGGATTCCTTGTTAGCACAGCCGTTACCTAGGCTACAGCTCTTCTGTCTCTTCCAGCACACTGCACCCCGCCACCCATCATTAGACCTCTCTGATGACCTGCTCAACTGAAGGAATGCCGCGGCAGATGCAGGTTTTTACACATGGATAAAAATCTGGCCGCACCTTTGCAGAGTTTATGGTACAATATGAAGAATTTAAGGCCCGCTGGTGCGCACACACTGCACAGAAGCTGAGGATCACGGGTGAAAACGAGATCCTTGTCAGCCAGGTGAAGGGGATCTCACACCTGAGAGGGAACGAGGAACCCTGCAGAAGAAATGAGGACAGGGGACAGCGGGAGAGGAGCGTACTTTCCTGTCTCACTGCTCCCCCCCCCATCCCAGCTCTCTGGCCCTCCCCCCACCCCATGACAAAGACTTCCAACCAAGAGTTCTCCCCAAACACACTTGTGTGTGTGTGGGGGGGGGGGTATCAGTTGGTACCCACGGATGGTGGATAGCGTTAAAAGAAGTGCTAAGTCTACAGGCCAGACCTGAGTGCTGGCAAAAGGAGATGGTGGATCATCTGGTCTGCCAGGCATAACCAATTGGGGAAAGGTAGCAGTCTTTCTACCCCAGGCTGGCACTGGTCACCAAGCTGGGGAAGATTAACAAGGGACTGTCTAGGATGGAAACCCATGTACAGTTGGTAACAGAGCAAAACATAAGAATGCTGGTAAGAAATGGTCTCTTTATCTCATAGCACTTGGGATTCTCAAAAATCCTGGGCAGTGTCCTGGACTTGCCACCAACTTGATAGGGGGCTCAACTGCATTGTGTCTGGATTCTAAGGATTAAGATAAGCCCAGCTCACACCGGTTCCCTGAGGTTTATATTAACATTGGGTGAATGTTCTTTGTTCTTACACTGGGCAGACCTACTTTTCAAAAGCACACATTTTGAAGTCAGGGAACATTTATATGAATAAATGAATAAAAATAACACTTCACTGAAGGAACAAGTAGAATTTTTTTATGGAAATGGATTTATTCATTTGGTAAGCATGAGCGCTTGTTCTAAGATCTAGGGATACAGCAATACAGACAGAAAAAATGCCCCTCGCTCACCCTGCCCCACCCAGCTTCTGGTGTTCATCAAAGTGCTCTGTATACCAAGGCTCTCAACTACATGGGGACACAAATTGGGGGCCTGGAGGACAAAGGGTAGTATATAACATATACTTTAAAATTTTGTACACATATCTTTCCACTAAATAAATTCTCATGTAGGAATCAAACCTAAGAAAATAAGCACAGATATGTGCACAAAGCAAACCAAAGAACAGCTAAAAGGACAGTCACCAAAGCATTTTTTTAATCGGGGAAAAAAAAATGCAAAAGTCCCTCAAAAGTAGACAGTTACGTGTTCACGGCAATTCTGTGCAATGAGCTACAGCACTGTCATTAAAAATGTGTGAGATTCTGGAGCACCTGGGTGGCTCAGTAGGTGAGGCATCTGCCTTCAGCTCAGGTCATAATCCCAGGTTCTGGGATCGAGCCCTGTGCCAGGTTCCCTGCTTAGTGGGGAGTCCGCTTCTCCCTCTGCCCCTCCCCTGCTCATGCTCATGCACACTTTCTCAAAGAAATAAAGTAAAAAGTGTGAGATCCTGTAATGACCTTCATTCGTTCCACAAGTGCTTACTAAGTACCGACCATGTGCCAGACACATTATCTGGGGGTAGAGAGATGAACAAGACAGAGTTCCTGCCTCAAGGAACCTACAATCTAGAAGGCGGAAAGAATATAAATATGTATTGCAAACAGGAATTTCTGATGGTGTAAGTGCTTTGATGACACCTCAATAAAAGCAATTAGGCAGAGGGAGAGAGGGAGGATATTTATGACTGGTGGTCGGGGAAAGGCCTCTCTGGAGAAGAGACACCTGAGCTAAACCCAAAGGAGACAAGAGGGTGATGATGGGGGTAGGGATACTCATGCAGGGGTGACAGCAAGTCCCAAGGCCTCGGGGAGCAGGTCTGGCATTGCAGGGAGAGGCGAGAACAGAGTGGTACGGTGGGGCCAGAGACCCAAGAGGCCAGCCAGCCTCTATAGAAAGTGGGCATTATTCCAACCATCTCTGGAAAGTTTTAAGCAGGGGACTGATAACATCTGACGTGAGTTTTTAGAAGACCACCTTGGTTGCTGTGCAAGATCAGACTACAGGGGAACAAGAACAGAAACAGATAATTAGAGATCTGGCAAGAGATGGTGGGGGCTTCACATAGGATTGAGATGGAGAGGAGACCATGTTCAAAGTAAACAACTTGGTTTATAAAAAAAAAAAAAGTTCCATACACAATTGAGTTAGAGATAATTAAGGTGGTGAATAAGCTATAACCCCTTCCAAATTGGACTACATTTCCCAGCATTCCTCACAGTGAGGTGGTCATGTGACTAGCTTCTGGCCAGTGGAATGTGCACTGAAATGATGTCTGCATCTTCCAGACCTGGCCCATAAGACCCTCCTACTCATCATCCTCCCTCCATTCTCTTCCCCCGGCTCAGCAGAGAAAATCCTGAAGGCCAAGAAGGGAAAACCTCTGTGAAGGGAGCGTAGAGGGACAGAACATCTCCACCTCATCTTGCCCCCTCCACCACCCAGCCACCTTGCCAGGACAGTGAGCTGGAAACAGACTTGTAGTTTCTTCCCACTGTAAATCAAAGGTTGCTTTAGCAGCTGGCCTTTGCTCATATATAATACAGTCTCAATTTTCAATATCTATCAATTATGTATAGGCACAGAAAAAGACAACAAAAGGATTATAGTAGCAGTGATTACCTCTGCATAATGGGTAACTTTCTGGTCTACATTTTTTTCTTTTTGAAACATTACGTATTTTTCTTTGGAAATTAAATTTTTGTAGAAACACGGGAAAAATACATAAGGAACAAAAGAAAAATTT